AGAGAGAAGCCCGGGAGAACGGAATAACGCCCCCACCCGTGACGAGAATCCAATTTGGCAACCTGTCAGTTGTACTACAGTTAGTTGTCCTGTCACAGTTGTACTCTTACGGCAAAAACCGTGCTGTATAGTAGTAGTAGTAGCAAATCTTTGGTTATGGAGCGGATTTATAATTTGCTGTTTGCAGATCAGGGGCCTGGGGGGGTTGAGAGTTACGTGCAACTAGTTGATTCAACTATAGTTTTCTTGTTAATATTATGTTTGCTAACACACTTTGATACTTTCTGAGCTAGATGGTTTTTCCCCTTTTTTTCTTCATTTTTTAAAGTTTTATTTTTATTTGTCTATATATTCATTTATTTATTGACTTATTCATTTAAAAATGTTACTTTATTAACTTTTGTTTTTTTTTTTGGGGGGGGGGGGGGGGTGGGCCCTCTCTTGTGGTTTGTTCAATTTTCTCTATAAAAAATATAACGTCCTTATGCCTCATCATACAGTGTAGTCATTTGATAGCAAAGAAGGAGCAAACCACACCAGAGCACCCGTCAACCACTCACAAACAGAGCGTATGAGGAGCAGATCATCCACCCAGTGACAACAACATTGTCTTCACAAAAAAAAACAACAACAACAACAACAGCAATACAACAACAACAACAAAAACTGCATATGTCGACAGTCCCTAATATAGTAATAATATGTATTATGAGTTGCAGTATTATTAGTTAAAAACTGGCTGGGCTCCCTTTCTATGAAATGAATGATCGGTGCATTAACTTCAGCCGAAAGTCATTGGCTTATGCTATTTACATTCTACCGGAATGGAGCAAATCTTGAGAGATGCAAAAATTAGAAGGTTTAGATCTATACTCTCAAAACAGTGCGCACGGTTAGTGAACGGAAACCTCCTTTTCTAAAATTACAGAGACAGAAACGTTGGCCAACAAAAGCGATCGGCGAAATTAAGGAGTTTAGTTTTTAAGCAGCAAAACTGTCTCAAAACTGAAAAAAAAAACGAAGGGCGTCATGATCTGGAGAATATTTTAAAGAAACTTAAGGCGAAAACCGCATGTCGACCGATGCAGCCATTAAAAAGCCTTTTGAATAGCAAAATTCGGCCACCACAAATATATAATAGATACAAGACCCAACACTGCTATGAATTAATTAGTGAAGATAGTTTGGAGATTTTAAGGCATATTTCGATTCATCATCGATACCAGGAAGAGAAACGTTGATCCAGCACTTCGATACATTCGGGTAAAAAAAGTTGTTCCCGCATCCGATTTAGACATTTTTGGGGATTGCCTTGTTGTTACTGTTAGTGAGACAACTCCCTGGGCCTTCGGCATGTCAATTTGTGAGGCATCGTGGTGGAATCAGGCTCTCGCCAATTTTTGGGCACATGGAGTTATTGGTATCCTCTTAAAGCTTGTTCACTTGTCTTTATTTGCATGAACAAAATATCCGTTTATCTTATATACAAGTCGAGATATTTGAGAATGAAGGAGGAGGGGGCCACCTGTTTTCAGAGGTAAAATTAGTAAGAAAATGGCCGCCAAAGATTACTTCTTTTCTTAGCTTAAGAGTCCGTGGTAACATCTTTTGTTCCTTTGATCAACGTCTTTCAGAAAAATCCACACAGAAATGAGTTCTTTAATGAGCATGAAAGGTGTTGAGCCCAAAAACAACAATTTGATTAAAATTCACAAATCCGCAGAAAATTGCAAGTTTCTTCACTTTGGTTATTTTGACGAGAGCCTGATTCCACCACGATGCCTCACATTTGGTAGGGTGGCCAGTTCCTTTCCACTCCGCCTTTACTTCCCCAATTGGAAAATCAGGTACCCATTATTGCTGGGTGGGCATTCTGGTAAATAATGTATAATCAGACTTTGTGCTGTTGAGACTACAGAGGTGAGCAGAGTAAGCCTGATTCCGTGTTTGGACTTCTCTGATGACATCCACCCCTTCGCGCTCATATGGACCTTATGCAGTTGCGAGCGCCTTTTAAAAAACATTAAAGTAAAGGGTTTTACGGCGCTCGCAACTGCATACGGTCATATGACCGCCAAGGGGTGGATGTCAACAGAGAAGTCTTTACAGGGAATCAGACTTACTCTGTTCACCTCTCTGGCTTCAACAGCACAAAGTCTGCTTCAACTATCAAG